AAATTATTTATTCTTTCGACAAAGATGACACGCGTCTTGGTCTTGCTTTCCCAATTGTTCTTTTTTTTGCAAATATAAAGAGATCATGGGACCGATTAGGCTTGATAAGTATAATATACCCCTAACTCGAACAGTCTATAAGCAAACCAGTATCATTTTCCATAGCATGTAACATGCCGATTCACCTATCACCAGTTCCGACACCTCCTCGGATATAATATTGTGCGAGCGTTTTTTCCAATTCTCGAAGCAATTCTGATATGCACTTTTTCTTACTTATGTCCTTGACCTTTCACAGCGATTCGATTTTTATCTCTCTGTCCTTTCATGGGTCTTGTCAATCTTGGGAACAGAAAAAAGTCACAGGGGGGCAAATTTGGTGAATACGGTGGCTGAGGCATGATCACAATGTTATTTTTAGCCAAAAAATTTCGAACAAGCAATGATGACTGCGCAGGTGCATTATCGTGGCGCGAAAGCCCTGAATTGTTTTCATACAATACCGAACGTTTTCTTCGTATTGCTTCTCACAAGCGGCGCATAACTTCAAGATAATGTTTCTTGTTGACAGCACGATTATGTGGCAAGAACTCCTGATGCACTTCCGCCACGGTAATCGAAAACAACAATGAGCAAAACCCTGACATTTGATCGAACTTGGCGTGCTTTTCCTGGTCTTGGCTCTTCTGGGCTCTTCTATTGGGATATTTACCCATAATTCTCTACCAGTTATGATCCTTTTCGTCTCAATTTTATTATTAGAAAGTCTTCATTGTAACAATAAATATCATCAATCCATCGTATATTCGAGTGGAAGAAATTATGAGATCAAACATTTCTGTAATACATCCATTGATGAATATACTATGTACATGTGAATTGAATAGATAATTCATGTTCGCGATGTCCATAAACAAATATTGTTTGCAGTTCGAATCGAGCGATCCAACGATGCAAAATATGCTCATGTTCAAACAATAAATACATCAATGTCAGTCACATGTCGTTGGAATCAATCAAAAGTTATCCAATTATTTATTCTCTAGAGTATATACGAGGGTAGGTTGAAAGATAAACACGCTCATAAAACACTTCATAGGTGCTGAAGAAGAGTGAAGAAAAAAAATTAAAAAGATGGGAAAGGAAAATATCACGAACAATATATCGAGTGGTCCAACGAAAAGTATGCACCTTGCTTTTCTCCTTTTTTTGTAACTTAACGCAAAAATGCTCGGGCAGGTCAATTTCGCTTTTGAGGGGGACACATTTTAGATGTATTTTTCTACCTGTGCCTTCAACCCCCTAGCGAGGGTGAGTAACAACCCTAAAATTTAAATGGAAAGTGGGGTCGAGTGATATATCATTTGAAAGGGCACAAAATTCTCTTTCCAATGATACCTAATTTGTTGTATTTACTTGAATAGTTATAAAAAAAGCAAGAACATTTACTCGATATTTTTGGTGTTAATGAAAATGCGTAAA